CATCCATGGGAATCTTGAACAATTTGAAGATGTCCAGCTTTCATGAAGTACCAGTTTGACTCTTCCTGGCACAGCCTAGCATTTACTTCACTTTCCCTAAAAAAAAAAAAAATATGTACACTGAAAGACAAACGTCGTGTCGTGAAATTTGGTGAAAACATATGCCGAAGGGCTAAACTTTCGGTGCTCCCCCCTGGTAGGGGGCTCTCATAATGTTTCACGAGTTATATTTAATCTTGGGACAAACCCGCATCAGGACATTTGTCTTTGATTTGTTACGAGTTGGGGATTTAGAATATAGTTAAAAGTCTACCCAGATCCCAACAGGGAAAAAAACAAAAAAAACAAAGACAATAGGACTATAAAAGGGTAGACAAAGGATGCGAGTTTTTGTTGTGTATAATAAAGTACCATAAATTCCTTAACAAAATATTCAGCTTTCTATAATTTACCCTTAACCATACTTAACCTAAACATTAACAGTATATACATATTTATACAACGAACAACAATTTTGAAGCAAGTGGACGCGGGGAGGCAATATAAGATTACAAATACTTAAGTGCAGAGCTGAGATGGCTGACGAGTATGGCTGAGTATTGTAGAAGACGGTAGGTAGTCACTGTGCCGTAGGTTTCCAGGATAGGTGATCCTGTGGTCACTTCCCAGAGTGAACTGAACTCTCATCGAACTGGAGCTGACGAAGAAGACTTTGAGGAGGTGACGCAACAACCAGGATATGGAGAAGGGAAACCCCGGAGTGGTAACTAAGAGTAGTCATACTCGGGTTTCGTCCCTAGATGGCGTTGCTCGTGGTGCTGGGTAGGTAGATCAGGACAATAGATGGCGTGGTTCGTAGTGCTGGGTAGGTAGATCATGACAATTGGTGGCGTGGTTCGTAACACACCCCCCCTCCAAAGACCTCCATAGCGCGGGCGCGAAGGAGGTGATCACCTGGTGCGTCTGGAGAGTAGCTGCTGCATTTCCACTGGAGCTCGGGATAAGGAGTCCGCAATCAGGTTGTCCACCCCCTTTATGTGCCGGACTTGTAGATTATAGGGCTGGGTGAGGAGAGCCCAGCGGAGGATTCGCTGGTTGGAGGTCTTGTTGGTTTGGATGAACGTGAGTGGGTTATGGTCGGTGAAGACTAGGGTTGTTTGTGGGCAAGACTGGAGGTAACATTCAAACTTCTTTATTGCCAACACCAGAGCCAGGGCCTCCTTCTCTATGGTCGAGTAGTTGGTCTGATGTTTTTTCAACTTGGCGGAGTAGTATGCCACAGGGTGAAGGACATCAGTGGTTGGGTCGGGTTGTAGGAGC